TTTGCCAGGTTGTCCCTTCTGACCCCGTGTTTCACACCCTGTATGAGTGTGATGGGCTCGTGGAGTTTCGTCGTTGGTTCGGCCCGGCTCCTGCCCTCACCCGTTGCGTAGAGCAGTACCGCGAGAACCCTGTCTGGACCACTGCCATGGTTCCCGACCCGCGCTATTGCTCCCTGCTGGCACCACCTTTCCCAGACCCTGTCTGGGAAGGGGCCGCAGACGGCCCCTTTTTCTCGTCGCCTGCGTACGGAGACGGCTCGGGAAAGCATGGTCCCTCGCCGCTCACTCTCCGTCGTGGATGGGGCGGTTGCTCATTTGTTCCGCGTAGTCGAAATGTTTTTGGTGAGCCCGTCGCCAATGATCGGCTTCGGCTTAGTGCTGGTGCCTATGGCGTATATCCATTTCTCACCCAGGATGTTTCAGGGGCTGAGCTTTACGCGTTTTTGTTTTATCTAACCCATGCTGCCCCCTCCGACTGCTATGAGTTTGTCACTGATGCCCAGTATGTCGTCGACGGTTGGGCAATGGGGTATGAAGCTACCACGCACGGATGGGCCACTCACGCATCCTTGTGGGCCCGTGTCCACCGTGCGGCTTCAGATATCGGGTATCACCTAATTAAGGTCACCAAGGTTCGTGGCCACCCTTCCTCTGTGGGTAATAAGCAAGCCGACAGACTTGCTAACCTAGGTGCGGACCTACACACTCTGGACACGGCACTGCACGACCGTATCAAGCGCTCTGGTGTGCTGGTGCGAAATCTTGGTGTGTATATCGGTCACTGTATAGCATGGATTTTTAAGAATGTGCCCAAAAAGGTCTGGGCGGCGGATTCTGATGAGTCCCCTGCCCCCACGGCCCCATCCCTAGTCCTCTCTGGTGCCTCCTCTGGGGCCTTGCATGAGCCATTCTGGGACCCCATCAGCGGGTCGTTTTCGTTGTGTGAATTGTTGGGCTAGTTCAGTCTCCAAGAGCTACTTATTGCGTTCGCAGTGCTCTTCTCCCACTGGTAGTGGGCACGTGCTCAGGCGGCAAAATAATATCATATTTTGTCGACGATGTGGCCGCTACTCTTGCAAGAAGGCAGTTGATTTGACGAAATCATGCACTGGGCCCCCTCGGGCCTCTGGCACCAGCTCACGGCTCCGGCGCATGTGCGATGGTCGTGACCCCCGCACTGATCAACCAGTCGGTGAGGCAACTGCGGTTGACAACGTCAACGTTATATATGCTTTTCCTGCCCCTCACGATGTCTTTAATTTTCAGGCATTGTTTGATCCTGCATGGCTTTTAGAGGCTCCGTAGATTTCTCGGGCTTCGGAGGAGTGGTGTATGTATCCTGGGATATCTGGTTTGTCTCGTCTGCCTGATGCTGGCAGGACTACTCGGATCCCCGACACCAGCCGCCAGAAGTGTTGTTCTGCAGTACTCCCTTTCCTGGCCGCTACAGAGGACAGTTCCAAGAAGTAGGGTAGACTTGGGATAAGTGGGTACAGAGGCGCTGAGAAGCAGGCACCCGTTCCGCCTGCGCCCACTTATCCGGTCTGTGCTCTTGCCATCCATCCCCTGGCCAGGCTCGCAAAGAGAGAAGACTCTCGCCTGCCCGCCGCGCGGGGATTTTGCACGCCTCTTTGCACGCCTCTCTGTCTGTGCTTTCTCTCTTACAGTTGGACAGTCGGACAGTAGGGTAGGATTGGGATAAGTGGGTACAGAGGCGCTGAGAAGCAGGCACCCGTTCCGCCTGCGCCCACTTATCCCTTCTGTGCTCTTGTCATTCCTCCCCTGGCCAGGCTCGCAAAGAAAGAAGACGTTTGCCCGCCCGCCGCTTGGATATTTTGTGCACGCCTCTCTGTCTGCGCTTTCTCTCTTACAGTTGGAGAGTCGGACAGTAGGGTAGGCTTGGGATAAGTGGGTACAGAGGCGCTGAGAAGCAGGCACCCGTTCCGCTTGCGCCCACTTATCCCTTCTGTGCTCTTGTCATTCCTCCCCTGGCCAGGCTCGCAAAGAGAGAAGACTCTTGCCCGCCCGCCGCTCGGGGTTTTTCTGTGCATGCCTCTCTGTCTATGTTTTTTCTCTACAGTCGGACAGTCGGACATAGGCTAGGCTTAGGATGACTGGGTACAGAAGCGCTGAGAAGCAGGCACCCGTACCGCCTGCGCCCACTCATCCTTTATGTGTTCCTTTCCCCCCCCCCCCAGCCCAGGCTCGCGAAGAGTGGAAGGGCTCTCCGCCGCCTTGCTGGTCTGTTGTATAATGTGCTGCCTGGCAGGTTGAGGCTGGAAACCCAGGAGCCAGGACGCGGGCTTCAAGTTGTCTCACCAGTCTTGCCAGCATCGCGTGTTTCGGGCCCTCGATTTCGTTGTCCCTGTGTGCTCGGGTCGGTCCCTCGCTCGGCTCTGTTCGGGTCCTGGTCCGTCCCTCGCTTCTTTCGGCCTTTCTTCGGGCCCCTCGCTCGTCGTTTCGGCGCCACGTGCAGGAGTGTTCGGCAGACGATCACCCGCGCGCAAATCAAAAAAAATCCAGAGCAGAAAAAATGACCTTCCCAGAGATTGCCTGACACAATCCCCAGCCGTTCCCAGAGCGCTTCCAGTGAACAGCTGGAGGAAACTGCATAGAAGGCAACGAAGCGTCCAACAACAACTTGAACATCTCAATCTGTTTTGCTCATCGCCAGCCGCCCTAGCATGACGCCCCCGAGTGTCATCAAGACGGCGCCCGAACATCCCAATATAGCTCCGATGTATCCCATTATGATAGAGAGGGAGCCGGCGGCAATGGGCGAAGCCCTTAGGGATAAACACCGACAAAGACGTGCACACGGCATGTTGCCGTCGACGCAGGCGTGGATACACATGTGCATAGGCGTTGATACGGCCTCTTCCGCCGGAGCTGGTTGTGGGCACCTATCGTTTCTTGCTCCTCGAGCAACTGTCCTTTCCTCGCATTCCCCCTCCCTCATGTTAGTGCTGGCGTGTACCATCGAAGGCCCAAGGTTTAAACCCAACTTACACACCCGATGTGTTCCGCATGCATGTACGTGCACTGGCTTGCCCAGAAAATCCTCCATCTGGGAAAAGAAACAGTGTTTACCACTGCGCGAACCTTGGAACAATAATCGAATGTCCGATGTCTACGTATATGAATACCCCTGTCCGTGCCCACAAATACACCGACAATGTCCTGTACGCGTGCCTGTGTACGGCTGAGGCGTCATATGGCTGCACTTGCGGCCGCGACTACAACATCAGATCATCACCCAAATTCCCTGGCCGCACCATAAAACTGAACCGAATGCCATCAGGCCCCTTCGAGTTCTCAGTGCTGAATACCCTAAAAGGTACCCCGCGTGCCGCTCGGGGTCCCCCGTATGACTTTTTCTAGAGGCTGGGAATCTGGAGGTGGGGATTCGCACTGGCCCAACGAGCCCTCGGTGGTCAACGTGGCCCCAAAGAGCACCAAGGGGCCCCAAGAGGTCCCCAAGCCCCCTCCCCAATCACCCTCTCCCTGCTTGTCCCTCCAATTCCCTCCTTCGCCGCCTCCCAGGGGGGAAGGGGACGGGGGAGCGCAGGGAAGACGTGTCGGTGACTCGTCGGCGGGGGGAGGGATGTTTCGCTGGCGCGCAAGAGAAAAGGCCCCTGCGCGCCATCCCGCGCATCCACTTGAACCAACTGAATGGCAAACAACTTTGCGCGCGACGTAAGGATACCCCCAGATAAGCACTTGCTGGGGCCTGGGGGGGATAATCAGCGATTTCCCCAGGGAACATGATGTGTTAGCTATACGATGGGAAATGATGATGCCGATAATGTTGATACTGATGATGATGATGATGATGATGATGATGATGATGATGATGATGATGATGATGATGATGATGGCGACGGTGGTCATGATGATGGTGATCCTGGGCGTTCGTGTAGACTGACCTGGTAGATCTCGGCACAAGACTGACTCGAGAGATCTCGAGGCTTGTGGCTGCAATTTGCCAGCGCGAGAGAGGGCTTTGGCCGTTCTGGCCAAGCAACTTCTTTTGCGATGGGCGTCGAATCGCTCGCACATGCAGGCTCGGCACCCTTTGGAGCCGTCCTTGCACGGAAGGCACGTGGTGCCGGCTTGGGTGGCAGCGCTTGCCTCCTCGAAGGTGGCGTACTTCGGCTAGACCGCTGCGGGGTCCTCACAGGACGTGGAGTTGTTGTTGGCACTGGCCTTGGCCAACTCGTTGTCGCTGGCCTCATGGAGCTTGTTGATCCACCCGATTGCCTCGAGCGCACATCGCGCTGATGCTCACAGGGCGCTTGGCGGCCCTCGCCTCGGATCTCGCGGAGGACGCGTTCGATCCAGCGACTCGTCCACAGGCCGCTGGACCAGGCGTCGGCCTGGAACATCACGATGCTCGGTGCAGGACAGGACTCGCCAGGGCCAGTGGCGCCGACCTTGCGAAGGATCCTCGTGGCGGCCTCGGGAGGCCACGTGCGAACCCTGCACGGGGAACCTTCATCGGTGAGCGGCCGTGCTTGCGCGTCTTATTCGGCTAATTACCTGCCGATGGAGGTCACCCGAGATTCTTGACCCCCTGGCTAGCACGCGCGTCGCTGGTCCTTTGCCGGGTCGAAGACAGGTCTCCCTCCGTCCTGCCATCGCTCGGACGTGAATTCGGTTTCGCGCGCTTCTGTCTCGCAGGGTGATCCAGGATGCTTCTCGATGGCCATCGCCGAGAAACAATGCGCACGTCCGAGCGACGCCAAGCCTGCCTCCTCCCTCCTCCACCATCCCCAACCTCAAGGAATTCCGCCTCCGACCTGTCCCCCGCCTCCTCCCAACTCCCCCCCGCCGCGACCACGACCGCCTGCGCACCGCCTGCGCACACCGCCCACTGCCTGCTGCTCACACGGCACGACTCTGACGCCGCGGACTGCGTGCAACACGGCACGCGATGCCTGCGGTCTGCTGCTGCTCTTGAAGGGGGGGGCAGCGGCAGATGCGGCAGCCTTCTGCATCGCTGTAGTACTCGCACGTGTTGTTCAACGCGTCCCTTGAAGTGCCCTCGGCGTCGGTGCAGCCCGGCAGAGCAGGCGTGGGAGCAGGAGTGGGGGGGTCTCATCGAGGGCTGCTAAAGGTGTCCTTGGCCCAAGGTCAGAAGGCAGATGACCCCCCCCAGAATGATCACCCCGACACGCGAAGCCGTTTGGGAACCGCACCCACAGGAGAAATCGAGCAGGGCAGGGCAGTTCAGTCCTCCTCCTCCTCCTCCTCGTTCCTCCTCCTCCTCCTCCTCCTCCTTATCCTCCTCCTCCTCCTCCTCCTCCTTAGTCCTCCTCCTCATCCTTCTCCTCCTCCCCTCCTCCTCCTCCTCCTCCTCCCTCCTCCTCCTCCCTCCTCCTCCTCCTCCTCCTCCTCGTCCTCCTCCTGCTCCTACTCCTCCTCTTCCGCCTCCTCTTCTTCGTCTTATCATTATTCATCTTCTTCTTCGTTTTCGTATTATTCTTCTTAGTGTTAGTTGTCTTGTTCTTCATATTATTATTCTGAATATTCGTCTTCCTCCTCCTCCGCCTCCGCCTCCTCCTCCGCCTCCGCCTCCTCCTCCGCCTCCTCATCTCTCAAAAGGTGCCCCCAGCTTGTCGATCTCTCCTGGAGCTCCTGGGGCTCTCTGGGCCTCGCGAGGGGGGCGCGGGGGCCGCCTTGAAACTCCCGGGAGGCACGTTGTCAAGGGGGCCCAGGGACACACAACTAACTAGACAAATCCCAGGAGAGGCCCAACAGAGGCCCCTAGAGGCCTCAACACGGCTCCCAGGAGGCATCAAAAACGCTGCCAAGAGAGCCCAGAGAAGCCCAAGAGCAGAACCGCGATCCGCCAACCGCCCCCGACGAAATCCTAAAAAAACTGAAAGATTCCCCAGAAATCACGCGCGTGCCGCAAATTCCGCTTTTCCACTCGCACTGCCGCCCCGAGGGGTCGGCACTGCGGCGTCGGCCAAGGAATACCTGGACACGAACCCGAGGATCCCCCATCTGTTCACACATCTTCTGGGTGTTCGTCTCCCTCTCCCCTGTCCCCACACTTCCCGGGGGATCGACGATGAATTGTGTCAAAGTGGTCTTCCCCCCCTGGCTTTGGGCCCGGGACGCCCCTGGCAACGCCCGAGCTGGTACGTGGCTCACGTGGCAGAGCTCCCAGCCGGGTTCTTGCATGGAGAAGTCGGAGGTCCAGCGGATGGTCGTGTTGACCTCTATCGTGCTCGCGAACTCGATCGTGCCCGAGTAGATCTCGCCGTTCAGGGACAGGAAGTCAAAATAGTCTTCCGTAGCGAAGGACGTCACGGAGACCTCCACCGATGAGAAGGCGAGATGGATCTCGCACTCCGTCTCTGTCGTATAGTCTTAGGTCGGACATCTCCCCCTACAGGGGGGCTTTGGACGACATATAATAAGCATGTCAGAAATATGTAACAAAATCCGCCGGCCCCCTTGTGGGGCCACTAGGCTGTAGGCGCGGGTTCGCAGTTTCCTGTACCAGTCGTAGCTTGTAGTTTCCAGTGTTACAGTTCTGCTTCTTGCTGGTTACTGTAACTAGTTGATTGACCGCGCGAGGGGGGGGGAGGCCCAAACCAGATATTTAGCACCTCCTGGGCGCTTTGTCTGAATTGCTGGGGGGGCTCGAAATCGACACCCCTCACACAGATCGGCGGGGTCAGGGTCCAAAAACACAGGGGATTTGCCACATTTCTGAAATTCGGTGCCACCCCTCACGCAGATCCGCGGGGTCAGGGTCCAAAAACACAGGGGATTTGCCACATTTCTGAAATTCGGTGCCACCCCTCACGCAGATCCGCGGGGTCAGGGTCCAAAAACACATGGGATTTGCCACATTTCTGAAATTCGGTGCCACCCCTCACGCAGATCCGCGGGGTCAGGGTCCAAAAACACATGGGATTTGCCACATTTCTGAAATTCGGTGCCACCCCTCACGCAGATCCGCGGGGTCAGGGTCCAAAAACACAAGGGATTTGCCACATTTCTGAAATTCGGTGCCACCCCTCACGCAGATCCGCGGGGTCAGGGTCCAAAAACACATGGGATTTGCCACATTTCTGAAATTCGGTGCCACCCCTCACGCAGATCCGCGGGGTCAGGGTCCAAAAACACAGGGGATTTGCCACATTTCTGAAATTCGGTGCCACCCCTCACGCAGATCCGCGGGGTCAGGGTCCAAAAACACAGGGATTTGCCACATTTCTGAAATTCGGTGCCACCCCTCACGCAGATCCGCGGGGTCAGGGTCCAAAAACACAGGGATTTGCCACATTTCTGAAATTCGGCGCCACCCCTACGCAGATCCGCGGGGTCAGGGTCCAAAAACACAAGGGATTTGGGACATTTCTGAAATTCGGTGCCACCCTTCACGCACATCCATCGCAAGGCGTGGTAACCCAAACTGCGAGAACTCCCTCGGCCCTTTAATCGCAAGGTGTGGTAACCAAGCCCGTAAACCATACACGTCTTACCAATCGCCAGGTGTGGTAACCCCTCTTGTGATCAGTTGGTTTTGATGATTGCGAATCGGCTTCGCATGAAGTTTCGATACTGCTTCACGACAGCGCCAAGGCCTCATGACTTAGCTCTTCCATGGCCCGTTCTCCGAGAGAGGGGGCCGGCGGCAGAGGGCGAAGACCTTACGGATTATCCCAGTGCGACCCTACCTAAGAGTTGGAGCCTCTAGGAAAGCAACATTAGCAGCAGCAATAGTGGATGCTGTGCTGCGCTATGCTATGCTATGCTATGCTATGTTGTGCTGTGCTATGCTATGCTATGCTATGCGATGCTGCGCAATGATATGCTGGGCTAGGCTAGGCTATGCTATGCTATGCTGTGTTGTGCTATGCTATGCTGCGCTGTGCTATGCTTAACAATTATATCCAATGATATGGTATGCTATGGTGCGCCATGTTATGCTATACTATGCTATGCTATGCAATGTTATGATATAATATGCTATGCTATGCTATGATATGCTGTGCTATTTCATGCTATGATATGCTTGGCTATGCTATGCTATGCTATGCTGTGCTAATGCTGCGCTGCGCTGTGCTGCGCTGCGCTAAGCTAAGCCAAGGTAAGCTAAGCTATGATGTGCTAAGCTAAGCTAAACTATGCTAAGCTAAGCTAGGCTAGGCTAAGCTAAGCTAAGCTACGCTAAGCTAAGCCAAGCTAAGCTAAGCTAAGCTAAGGTAAGCTAAACTAAGCTAAGCTAAACTAAACAAGGCTAAGCTAAGCTAGGCTAGGCTAAACTAAGCTAAGCTAAGATACGCTAAGCCAAGCCACGCTAAGCTAAGCTAAGCTAATATAAGCTAACCTAAGCTAATATGAGATACGCTAAGCTAAGCTAAGCTAAGCTAAGCCAAGCCAAGCTAGGCTAGGCAAAGCTAAGCTAAGCTAAGATGAGATAAGCTAAGCTAAGCTCAGCTAAGCTACGCTGAGCTAAGCTAAGCTGGGTGAACCCAGGGGGCGCAACTGAGGGAAGCGCGGGGCAAATGCCGGGGGAACCGCCCGGGGCGAGTTACCCTGCCCGCCCCCCAAGATAGAGAGTAAGAACCCTTCTAGGCAGAGCCTAGGTAGGGAATAGTCAAACATAGTTGAAAACATGCCCCCGGGCTATTTGTACTATTCTGACATATTCCTCCTGCAGAATGACAGGCCCGACCTAAGTATAGTCCTCCGGATAATTCTCGGAGCGCACGCAGCCGAGGCTGGCCGTGCATGGGCCGCTCACGTGTGTCCACCACTCCTGAGGGGCAACGATAGGGGGGGACAGCCTCGGGGGAGGATACGTCGACCTGGAATAGACGATACATCGCCGATAGATCGGCGATAGGCCCCCGATGGTGAGTCCGCGCCTTCCTGGGCGGGGTGAGGCTATCGGGCCCCTATCGGCGATCAATGGGCGATTGGGGGTCGATGCGTCCCCCCCTATGCCGATCCCCCCCTATCGTTGCCCCCGAACTCCGTCAGGGGCGAGTAGGTTGGAGCCGGTGCGTCGTCCAGCGTCTGGCCCTCTCGTCGTGCCATCGCTCGGACGCCAATGCCAGGTGCATGTCTTCGGCTTTGAAAAAGGCCCAGTGACACACACACACACAGACAGACACACACAAACAAACAAACAAACACACATAAATATACACACATCCCAGGATTCCCCACATGTTCAATATTTTCTGGATCTTCGTCTTTCCCCCCACTTCCAATATGGTCCCATCTGTGAAAGAGCGCCAGTGGATCACCTCCTGATTGAAGGGCGTGGTGCTCCCAGAACCCTCCCCCCCCCTCCCCCCCCAAAGGGGGGACATTTTGGGACCCCCCCCCTCCCCCCTTGGCGCTGGAGAGGGGGGGAGCGATTCCCCCCTTCCCCCCTGTGGCCAGGCAAGGGTGGGGGGCAGGTGGGAGGCTCTTTCCGCTCCGCAGCGCTGGATGCTGGGGTTGAGGTGGTGGTTAGGGTAAAGTCTAGGGCTAGGGTCGGGGTTAGGGTAGCGTTTAGGAGTTGGGGTTAGTGTGAAGGTTAGGGATGGAGGGAAGGGCTGGGGATTAGGGTTCAGGTTTCTGGCTTGGATTAGGGCTTAGGGTGAGAAATCGGGATTCGGGTCAGGGGAAGGGGTTAATGTCGGGTTTAGGGGTTTGGGTCAGTTCTTAGGGCTCAAGTCAGGGATTGGGGTTGGGGTCAGGGGCTAGGGTTAGATGTAAGAATTCAGGTTCGGGTTTAGGGCAGGGAGTAGGGTTAGGGTATTCGGGGTTTGGGCTGATGAGGTAGGGGTGAAGGTTTGGGTCGAGGTTTAGGGTTCGGGGTTCGGGCTTCGGGTTCAGGGTCGGGCTGACGGTTAAGTTAAAGATCAACTTAAGGTTCGGGTAGGAGCTAGGGATGGGAGTAAGGGTTAGGGTTAGACTTTAAGCAGAAGGTTAGAGTTAGGGGTTAGGGTTAGGGGTGAGGGTTTAGAGTTGACGTTCAGGTTTAGGATCAGGGTTGGGGTTCGGATTCGGGGTTATGTCCGGGTTCGGGTTTAGGGTCGGCGTTCGGGTTAGGGGTTCGGGTGGGGGTTGGGGTCGAGGTCAGGTTGGGGGTGGGGGTTCGGGAAGGGTTGAGCGGTCAGGGTTAGGGGCTAAGGATGATATTATAAGGAACTAGGGTTACGGTTTGGGGTCAGGGCAAAGTTTAGGGGTTACAGTTAGGGCATAAGGTCGAGGTGAAGGATTCGGGACAGGGTTCGGGGTGGGGTAAGGTTCCGGGGTGAGGAAAAGTTCGGGTTTCGGGTCGGGATTACGGTTAAAATTAAGGGTTCGGGTCGGGGTCAGGGCAAGGCTGGGGATCAGGGTTCAGGTCTAAACGGTGGGATCTGGGCTTCGGGTAACCCTGTGCTCCTGATAAGAACCCCCTGAGGATAGTAAAGTTCGGGGGTCTGGCAGGGATAATCAACGACGTCCCGGGCGAAGGTGATGATGATGCTGATGATGATAATGGAAAATGTGATGATGATGATGATGATGGTGATGATGATGATGATGGTGGTGGTGGTGATGATGAGTGGCCTGGGCGCTCGTGTAGAATGATTTTGTCATTCTTGGCACAGTACTGACTCGAGAGATGTCGAATCTCGTGGCTACGACTTGCCCAAACAAAAAAGGTCCTTGGCGATCCTGGCCATGAAACGTATTTTGCGCACGACCTCGTTTGCCGAACGTTCGTGAATCGGGAAACTGACATGGTGAGGAATATCATAGCCCCCCCACACACGCTCGTGATTGCGGAAACTGAAATGGTGAGACCACCATTACCATACTCAGCGCTTTTGATGTTGTCGCAGGTCAACATGGGATGCTAACCAGGTCGATTCACAGAATCCCCCGGTGGTTATCAAGTTCAGCCTCCGCGCCCCTCTCGACACCTACATCCGATTGGAACGGGATGAACAAATCACGGGGAAATGGGGGGGAGACATTATTATCCGGGGCACAGGGTTAAAGCTTAGAGTTTAGGGCCAGGGTCAAGGGTTAGAGTAGGGTTAAGGGTTCGGGTGAAGTCTTAAGGTTAGGGTCAAGGATTAGGTTTCGGGGCCAGGGCTAGGGGGGTGGGGCTCGGGTTAGGGGTAGGGGTTACGGTGTGGGCCAAGTTAGCCAGTTCGAGCGAGCCAGAAGGCTCCGTCCACTCCCACCCGCCCTCCCGCAACTGAAGAAGCAAGTGCGTCGCGTCCGACGCTTGTCGCTCATCAAATATCGTGGGCGGCTAGACGTGCAACATGGGTTGCGTCCTATCCCTGCCACGTATTGAACAACGTCGACGAGAAACAAGACCGCGCGCGATGTACGCCTCGCCCCGCTCCGGTCTCTCATGTTGCATCCTCGGCGACAGCATGTCCAGCAACGCGCGTTGCACCGCCAATCGTTTCGCTCCTGCCGCGCATGGGGGAGGGGGAGGAAGAGGAGGACGAGGAGGAGGAGGGGAGGGGAGAGGGAGGGAGGGAGAAACTGAGGAGGGAGAGGAGAATGCCTGTTGGGATTTCGCGAGGCGTCCTGGGAGCTTTCTGGCATACGCCTGAGGGCCTCTTGGATATATCTTCTGAATTGAAATATTGTCAAAACAAGTAGGTGTTAACCCCACAATCCTTCAAACACCAAATGCAAATCAATATTTGCGTTGCCCGCTGCCCCCCCCAAGACCTCCTGGACGCCGTTGTTCCACCTCTTGGGGGTCTCCTGAGGCACTTGCTTGAACCGCACTTGCTCGAGGCATTACGACTTGCCGCCCACCCAGCTCCTCAACCCGACGGGCCGCAGCGACGACGACAACCAAATCCATGTTGACGAGCAGGCGTCCCCGCGCGATGTGCGCCGCGTCCCATTCCCGCTACGCGACTCGCAGCGCCGACGAAGAAAAAGTACACGCTGGCAAGAAAAACTTCGACGTTGCGGTGTCCTTTGACAAGTAGGACGGGGGGTCCCGCGTAGGGTTGGCCAGGCGTCCGCGCGTGATGCGCGCCGCGTCCCATTCCGGCTACACTTTTCGCAGCGTCGACGACAAGAAAGTCCATGTTGACGAGAAAAACGTTGATTTCGTATTTATTTTTGAGAAGTAGGACGCGACCACCCGCTTGGGGTTACCCAAGCGGTGTTCATTCCGTCCCATCCCTGCTGCACTCTTCGCAACCCGACGACACGCTGGCGAAATAGAAACGTTTGCATTGTTTTTTGACAGTTCGGACGGCGGGGTCGCTATCGGCCAGCTAGGTGGGGACGTGGGGCGGTTTAATCATAAGAAATAAGAATTCGGGTACGGGTCAGGCATCGGATCAGGGTTAGGGTAGGGGTTAAGGTTCGGGTAGGGGTTCAGGTATAGGGTCTGGGCTTAGAGTAGGGGTTAGGGTGGGGATTCGGGTTTCAATTAGGGGTTAGGGTAGAGGTTTGGATAAAGGTTAAGGTTCGGCGTAGGGTAGGGGATAAGGTCAGGAGTGGGGGGTTGGGTCAGGGGTTAGGGGTTAGGGCAAGGATTAGGTTGAGGGTTAGGTGTGGTAGGAATCGGTTTCCGGAGCCAGGGGGCGGCGTGGCGAAAGGGGGAGAGGGGGGTGGGGTCCGAATTTCACGCTCAAAGGGGGGCGGGGTCCAGAGCTTCCCTCCGCTTTGAAAAATGGATGGGGGGTGAGGGGGGGGGGTCCGCCGGCGACGGGTCGGGAAAGGGGGGTGGGGTCCGCCGACGATGGAGCGGGAAAGGGGGGGGGGTCCGCCGACGACGGATCGGGGAAAGGGGAGGGGGGGGGGATCCCAGACCCCCCCCCGCCCCTTTGAGGCATCCAGCGGGGCGCCCTCCCCATCTTTTCCTGGGGATCAATGATTACAATTGTGCCTGTGTGTTTGTTCTCCCCTCCTGAGGCTTGTTGATCTTGTTCTGCTTGTTGTTTTGGAGGGCTTGACGATCCAGGATGCTCCTCTATGGTCCCCGCCGAGGCAAAGAAGAAAAGCACACGTCCTCGGGGAACTTCTGACCCAGGTCAATCCTGACCTGGGTCCATCAAGCCTTGCAGAATCCTGCAGATCCTGCAGTATCCTGCCCCCAAGCCCGGGGCCACTGCGAAGGATCCTGCAGGATCCTGCAGGATCCTGCACCCAAGCCCGGGTCAATGCGGCCCTGGCCCTGCAGGATCCTGCAAGATCGGACGCTCTGGCTGGCCCCCGCTTGTATCGACCCCCGCCCCAGGGCTCCCGACGTCCGAGCGATGCCAAGTCACCTGGGGGCGGGCACGGCAGCGGGAGGCGTGAGCAGGGACCGACCGTCCCGGCATACCTATAGCCATACCACGACAGGTTCTTAGAACCCAGACATGCTCTGAGAACAACAAGCACTGCTCTCAGAGCATGCACCCGCTGTGCTAACACAAGGCGGCCCCAGCCAGAAGTGCCCTGAGACCATGCTTCGTGGAAGCCAGGAAAGGCTCTTCTTAGACCATTGCTTGGCAGGGCTGCAGGCGAGCCAGGACGCCTCGCCACTGCTCGCTCCAGGCTCCCGAGACGTCCGAGCGAGGCCGAGTCCCCGGCGTCCGAGCACGGCAGCGGGCGGCGCTGGCGAGCCACCCGCACGCCGCCGCTCCTCGCGGCGCCTCCGCGCGCCGGCGGCGCACCCCCCGCGCGGAGGATCGGACCCCGGGCCGCGGGGCGAGGCGCCGGCTGCTCCGCGCAGGCTTCGCACCCCCTCCCCTGTCGAGAGGCCTCCCAAGAGTGCGTACCTGCCAGACCACCCCAACCCAGCCCGAAGGTGCGAATTTCTGGCCCGAGTGTCGGGTCGGGGGGGGGGGTACGAGTTTTCCATGTGTTTCTGTCAATGTTCTCCGACCCCCCCCACACTAGAGATGGAGGACACATCGAGGACTTCGGGTTGGGTTGGGGTGGTTTGGTGGGTGGTGATCCCCTGTCGAGAGGCCTCCAAGATGAGGTCGGAGCAGATGGGGTCGGAGGAGCGCACCGCACTGGCGATGCAATCGGCGATGCACTGGCGATGCACCGGCGATGCACTGGCGATGCATCGGCGACGTCGACGCGAAGCAAATCGGGCTGCACATGGAGCCGCATGGCCGATGCCGCGCGATCCTCCGACCCCACCCACTCGGACCCCATCCGGGAGGCCTAGAGATAACCGGCCTCGACGATAAGGGCGAGTAGCCCAGGGGCGGGCACTACATGTATTTGCCCGGGAACCCTGTCGAAGACATAAGTCATCGGCGCCCCTGGATACATGTATTGCTCTCCCCTGGGCTATTCTCCCTCATCGTCGCCTCTGCGATCCCAGACATCCGACGTCTCGATTTTTTCGAGACACGGGCCTCCGACCTCGCGACCACTTCCCTGGGACCGGTTTTTCCTCCCGAGTCGTTTTTTGACGGTCCCGAGGCCCGGCGAGGGCCCCGAGAGGCCAAAAACTATGAAAAACCTCTGCCTCGATTTGTTCGAGACGCCCGATGTCTGGGATAAAGGGTGCCTGCTCCAGACCTCCGGCGTCTCGATGTCTTTCGCACACGGGGGCCCCCCGACCTCTCACACCACGTTCCCAGGACCGGCTCCGTTCCTCGACGGCCCCGAGGCCCGTGGGAGGGCCCCCCCCAGAGGCCGAGCACTCACTGTGTAAAACCCCTCCGCCTCGATGGCTTCGAAACGGCCGGATCCTGGGTTTTTTTTATTGCCCTCCGACCCTATTGGGAGCGGATCCTAGGTTTTTTTTTGTCCTCCGACCCTATTGGGAGGCCTAGACTTCGGTCGCACGTCCCCCTCCAGGCGAATCTCGGTCGAACAAGGACAACCACCCCCAACATGCCCGCGGGCACTCCAGAATGGTGCACGACTCTTCCCCAGACTATGTCTTAGACTGTTCTTGAATGTCCGTCCTGTGGGAGGGACAGGCCCGACTTACAAGCCTAGACTGCCCCATGCCCGCGCGCCGCTTCCGCCCAAGCCGGCGCCTCGTGCGTGGGAGAAGGCGTGTCTGTCCTCGCCATGCCCCACTGGATCGGCCCGCTGGGCACGACGCCGTCGGGGCCCTCTGCGCCGGCATAGGCGACGCCGTTGACGGTCAGGACGTCCGAAGGGTACGCCCCGACGTGGAAGTAGCTGCTCCTCTGGGGAACCCCCTCGGCGGAGGACGAGCCCCCCTTTCGCACCACCCTGGAGTGAAAACGGCCCAAGACCGAAACCGACGGACCTGGAGCCGCAAAAGGACGGCCGCGACGCCCTCTCGCGAGGCGAAAACGGCCAATTCGCGAATCGACGTGCCAGGGCAGGAGGTCTATACCAACCTCCGAACCAACAGGTACCGATTCCGCTACTCCCCGGACCTCTCCCGGGGTGCGATCTGACAAGGAGTTCGAAGCAAATCCAGCACCCCTCACACTGTTCGTGCCCTCATAGGGAGCTCCACCGAAGCCCCAGTGGCAGGGTTCGCATGGCACCGCCGCTCCATTTCGGCACACCTCTCACACGCTTCGTGGCCCCATAGGAGGCTCCGCCAAAGGCCCCAGTGGCAGGGTTCGCATGGCGGCCCCGCCTGATTTTGGCGCACCCCTCACACGGTTCGTGGCCCCATAGGGAGCTCCACCCAAGGACCCAATGGCAGGATCCGCATGGCGGCACCGCCCCATTTTGGCGCACCCCTCGCACGCTGCCTGGCCCCACAGGGGGTGGCGGCGAGGACACCCGAGGAGGCCCACAAGGGGGAAACCGAGGAAGGGGCAGAGGTAGGGGTACCTTTTTAGAGGGCTGGCGATCCACCCCGATAATAAGCACCCCGACAACGCAACCGTTTAGTAAACGCACCCGACGAAGGAATCGAACGAGAAAGCGCTGTCTAGTAAACGCACGGCGCCGTTTAGCAAACGCCGAATATGGGGGTCGGGGTGGACTTGTCTTCGTGGACTTTTCCTCCTCCGATCCTCAGCGCGTAGGCGCCCCCGGCGGGCCGGCCCAGCTCGAACTCGCACGCCGAGCCCTCCTGGTACTGGGCGGGGTAGCCCGGGCTGTGCACGCAGCGCCCGTCCTGGCGAGAGCCACGGACTCGGCGGATCGTCTCGAAACGCGTGGATCCCTGGACCTCTGGAGCCCTCGCCCGGGGGGCCAGCTCCTCCTCCTCCTCTTCCTCCTCCTCTTCCTTCTCCTCCTCCGCCTCCCCCTCCTCTCCCTCCTCCCTCTCCTCCTTCCCCTCCCTCTCCTCCCCCTCCCCCTCCTCCCCCTTCCCCCTTCTCCTCCTGGGGTTACGTCGGGCGTGTCCCCCGAATTACAGGCGGAGTCTGGGCGAAAAATATGGAGGGGCCCTGGGACTCCCAAATAAGTGCACACAGATAACATGATTCCCCACATGTTCCCATATGTTTGGGGTTATTGTCGTCCCCCCACTTCCCATAGTTTCCCAGATGTTTTGGGGAATCGACGATTAATTTAGTCTCTGGGTGTTTCTTCCCCTCCTGAGTTACGTCGGGCGTGCCCCCCTCAGTACAAGCGGATTCTGGGCGAACAAAAAAATATCCCAGAGCGACCCTACCTAGGAGTTGGAGCCCCGAGGACAGCAATATTAGTAGTAACGGTCAACGCCGCCCTCCTCCTCCTCATCGTCGCAGTGTTAGCAGTAGCGGTAGTAGTAGTAGTAGTAGTAGTAGTAGTAGTAGTAGGAGGAGTAGGAGTAGGAGTAGTAGTAGTAGTGGTAGTAGTAGTAGTAGTAGTAGTAGTAGTAGTAGTAGGAGTAGTAGTAGTAGTAGTAGTCGTAGTCGTAGTCGTAGTCGTAGTCGTAATAGTAGTCGTAGCCGTAGTCGTAGTAGTAGTAGTAGTAGTAGTAGTACTAGTAGTCGTAGTAGTAGTAGTAGTAGTAGTAGTAGTCGTCGTAGTCGTAGTCGCAGTAGTAGTAGTCGTAGTCGTAGTCGTAGTCGTAGTCGTAGTAGTAGTAGTCGTAGTAGTAGTAGTTGTTGTTGTTGTAGTAGTTGTAGTAGTTGTAGCAGGTTGTAGTAGTAGTTGTAGTAGTAGTAGTAGTAGTAGTAGTAATAGTAGTAGTAGTAGTAGTAGTAGTAGTAGTAGTACAGCTTAATACCTACATATACAGCTAGACCTACATCCACATCTACACATACAGCTACATGTACATGTACACATGCATCTACATCTACATCTACATCTACAACTACACGCACATCTACATCTACATGTACACCTACGCCTACACACACCTACATGTACATATACATCTACATATACACGTGCATCCTCATCTACACCTACGCCTACACCTAAAGCTACATCTACACTTTCGCATTGGTGTTGCTTTTGCGTTGCATTGCCTTTGCTATTGCTCTTGCCTTTGCGGTTTGCCTTTGCCTTTGCTGGTGCTGTTGGCTTTGCTGCGCTATGTTATGCTATGCTATGCTGTGCTGCGCTATGCCATGTCATGCTAGGTTATGCAATGATATGTTGTGCTGCGCTATACTATGCTATGCTATGCTATGCTATGCTATGCTGCGCTATGCATATGATATGCTATGCTGAGCTATGCTATGCTATGATATGACATGCTGCGCTATGCTATGCTATGCTATGCGATGCTGCGCTGTGCTAGACTAAGCTACGCTATGCCATGATATGATGTGCCATGCTATGGTATGGTGCGCTATGATATGATATGTTATGGTATGTTATGATATGCTATGGTATGCTGCATTATGCTATGCTGCGCTATGCTATGCTGTGATATGATATGCTGTGCTATGGTATGCCAATGCTGAGCTGTCCTAAGCTAAGCTAAGCTGAGCCAAGCTACGCTAAGCTAAGCTAGGCCAGGCTAGGCTAGGCTAATCTGAGCTAGGCTAAACTAAGCTAAGCTAAGCTAAGCTAGGCTAGGCTAAGCTAAGCTAAGCTAGGCTAAGCTAAGATGAGACAAACAACGCTAAGCTAAGGGGACGCAACCGGGGGAACCGCGGGGCGGATGCCGGGGGAACCGCCCGGGGCGGGCAACACTACCTGTCCCCTTTAAGATACACGGTAAGAACCCTTCTAGGCAGAGCCTAGGTAGGGAAAAACAGAGGAAATACGCAACAACCACTCAGAAATACCAAAATCATCTTCGCCCGACTATGTTTTGAGTATTTGGGAATTCTGCCCCCGTAAAGGGACAGGGCCGATGTAGCCCTGGGGGGATGTGAGAAGGGGTGGGTCTCTGAGCATTGTTTATCCGATCCCCATCCCCACAAGCGTGGGCTGGGCCCCACTGGCTGATTTCCCCCCTGTGAGGGGGATATAGGCTGCTCTCTTCGGGTTTCGAGGGGCATGTCCCCAACTGAGGTGGTGAGACGGTGGGGCTCGAGATGTGGATGGGGATGGGGATAGGGATCAGTTATACGATACGGAGCCTCCTCAGAAGGCTCGAAGTCCCCCGGACTCCTCACAAGTTTCCCGAGCCTTCCCCGAAGATACCGACAACTCCTCAAAGAAGGCCCGAAGGCTCCTGAGAAGCCCCGCCGCCTTCCGAGAAGGCCTCCTCCTTCTCAATTCCCCTCCCCCTGGGGAAACCAAAAGGTACCAATACCACTGCTCCACACACCTCTCCTGGGGAGGGCTCTGACCCAGATTTCGAGGCGAATCCAGCGGTGGCGACGAGGGTCGCCCAGGAGGCCCAAAAATGAAAAACAAGGAATGGCAGCGGTACGGGTACAGTCATCGGCCTGACCAGGAACGAAGCGATTTTTCCCAAGGAATGACGCGTTAGGGGCGATGAAAAATACATAACGCATAAGGAGCGATAAATAACGCATGCAAGACTGAGGAACGACCGAGCCCCTTCTGAAAAGCACCAAGCCGCTCACTACACCTCTTCCAACTGCGACGCTCGCCGCCGAAGCAGGCCCCCGCAAGGCAAAGGCTCCCGACGCCCGCCGACGGCCTCGCCGCCGGCGCCGGCCCTTCCCCAGCGCGCATACAGCAGGGACCCAACCACAAGAGACCTTCCACAAGGAACCCAACCCTGAGACCCCAGGGCGTCCATCGATGTTTGGAGGAGGAGGAGGAGGAGGACCAGTGTAAAACCAAGAGTCATCAACGATGTTGGAATTAACCCTCCCTCCAGGCTGCCAAGGCTTCACAGCGATTCATTTCCATTGAGGGAACTGCCTCGTTAGAAGACGTCCGTTTGAAGATCCCAAAGCATGCTAGAACATTGTTCTCGGAACTTCAACGCCACGTGTCAACCTGACTGCTGCGTCTTGACGATCCTGAATCGTGCCAGAGCGCCGTTGTTTGGGCTTCAACACCACGAATCAACATGACTGTTGCCCCCACCACAACCCTGAATCTTGCCGAAACGCAATTTTTGGTCAGTTGCTCATGGGAATCCGTGAAACTCTTGCAACTGTCGACAACGAATGTGCACGGCGCTGAAGCAAAAACCACATTTTGAAGACCAACCGCCCTCAATCCGTGAAGCTCTTGCAAATCTTAAAAAAGAGTGTGCGCGGCGCGAAAGCGAGAACCACATTTTGAAAACGACCCGCCCTCAATCCGTGAAACACTTGCATATCTTGAACATGAACGAATGTGCGCGGTGCTAAAGAGAGAGCCACATTTTGAAAACCACCCGCCCTCAATCCGCGAAACTCTTGCAAATGTTGAAAAACGAATGTGCGCGGCGCCACAACAAAAACCACAATTTGAAGACCAACCGCCCTCAATCCGTGAAGCTCTTGCAAATCTGAAAAAAAGATTGTGCGCGGCGCGAAAGCGAGAATCACAGTTTGAAACCGGCCCGTCCTCAATATGTGGAACTCTTGCAAAATTCTAACATGAATGTGCGCGGCGCTGAGGCGAGAGCCACATTTTGAAAACCACACGCCCTTACTCCATGAAGCTTTTGCAAATGTTGAAAAGCGAATGCGCGCGGCGTTAAGGCGAGAACCACATGTTGAAAACGACCCGCCCTCCATCCGTGAAGCTGTTGCCACTCTGTATGCTTCAGAAACATGATTGATGAGGGAGTCTCAGGCGAAACGCCCGGCCCGCCCTAAAAACTGGCGGCGGGGTGCGACAGGGAGAATGTATCTATAAGGAGAAGGAATGGAGTAGGAGCAGGAGGAGAGGAGGATGTTGAGGAGGACGAGGAGGACGAGGAGGAGTGGGCGAACCAACACGCGAGACCTAGGCCTGTGCATCAAGAGCCGCAGCACGGGCGGCAGAGCGTGCTCAGACGGAGGACGAGGACAGAGGGGTACAGTAGGAGCTCGACCACAAGAAGCCTTCCACAAGAAACACAACCCTGAGACCCCAGGGCGTCCATCGATGTTTTGTGTGGGAACGTCACGCTTGCCGTGGCAAAACCATCGAAGCCTAAGAAATCCAAGGCACCATGGAGGCGAGCAGGGTGTTTCTTTTGGCATGGGTCCCCACCGTACGGATACCGCCACTCCCAGGACCTCTCCCAGGACCCACGCTCTGACCACTATGCCGACGCGAGTCCAGCGGTGGCGACCACAGGGGCCTCCCAGGGGCCCAAAGACGAGGAAACCGAGGCAAGGATAGCGGCATCGATACCTATTCTCTCCTCTGATCGATACCTTTCCCTTCTCTCGCTCGGGATAAAAGAAGAAGAATAAACAAGAAACGGCATAAGCATAAATTGTTAGCGCTCCGCGCAGATTTCTTGGATCTGCGCTAGACCCCCCTCCCCGGCGCGCGTACCGCGCCAGGGGCGGCGCAGGAGGCGCCGACGACGGGCGGAAGCCTAACGCGGATCAAAGAGATCCGCGCGGAGCGCCAAAAGTTTATCTTTACGCCGTTTCTGTTGCCTGCTTCACCTTCTTCTTATTATTTTATTATTGGTATGATGCCGTTTCCTCCTCCTTCGTCTTAGTTATTATGATTCACTTTCCTCCTCCTTCTTATTCGTCTTCTTATGATCGTTATGTTTCTTCTTCGACTTCCCTCCTCTGTAGATCGCGCAAGGGGGTGAGGGCTCTAGCGCAGACGGTGCAGGCCGCCCGTGGAAGTCCGAAAAGAGTCGCCCGAATGGTGTGTGCAGTTCTGCTTCTTTCGGTGGCCACTCGTGGGAGCCTCCCATGCAGCCAACCCGTATAGTCAGGAGGAGGAGGAGGAGGAGGAGGAGGAGGAGGGGAGGGGAGGAGGAGGCGGAGGCGGAGAAGGCGGAGGAGGAGGCGGAGGCGGAGGAGGAGGAGGAGAAGGAGGAAGGGGGAACATCGACCTGGAATCCGCGACGGACAGTCAACTGTATGCCTATGTCGAGGAGGATGCGCGATGAGGATGCAAGGACCTTGTACGCCTCTGTCGAAGCTTTTCGAGCGGCGCGGTGCCAACGAAAGTGGCCAAGGATGGACCGAGGAGGCAAGGATGCAAGAGTACCCTTGGGGAGGTGGCCCATCCTTACTATGCGGGTTGACTGTACCCATCTTGTTGGCTCTTGCGAATCGGCGCGGGTCGCCGCTAATCGACGCCAAGTCGACGCTGGTCGACATTAATCGACTCTACAGCGGCGCTATCCCATCGATAACCAGACGCTTATCGACGCCAGTGCACTGCAGAGACGGATCTGCGAGGGGATACGAGGCTCCCATGATTTGTTGCCGAATGCTTCCCCGCATCCACTATGCACGCCCCGCTCGTCAGCGACCACCACGCCTCCGGCGTCACCTCGGCATGATGCCACAAATCTAAAATCCTCCTAGATGGGGTCCGAGTAGATGGGGTCGGAAGATCGCGCCGCATCGCCAATGCATCGGGGATGCACCGGCGACGCATCGTCGATGTCGATGAGGCATCGGCGCCATCGACGTGGAGAACATCGGGCTACACATTGAGCCGTGTCGGCGATGCATCGGCGATGCGGCGCGATCCCCCGACCCCATCTACTCCGACCCCATCTAGGACTAGGTCGGGCATGTCCTCCTATAGGCGGATTTTGGGGGACACATCAGAAATAGCGAACAAAAATGCTCAACATAGCAAGAAATACTCGAAACAACGACCCCAACTTTTTTTTGACTGCTTTTGAATATTCCTCCTGTAGAGTTCTGCTGCTTCAGTCGCCCTTGGGAAACCACATCCCAGAAATAATTTCGAGCGCCCAGAAAAGTGTCGAAACAGTGTCGGACGAGTGTCCCCCAGGGCCTGACGCGTGAAAACCACTGAGTTTCGTTGCTTTTGGGGGGGCTCGAAATTCTTTCTCGTGGGCTGGAGCATGTTAACTGTAGAGGGACATGCCCGACGTAAATATACTCCGACCCCATCTGGGAGGCCTTGAAAGACAGGGTCTGGGGGGCAGTGGGCACCCAGGAGTCGGCCGCTGGACCTCTGGTGGGGGGGGGGAAGCCTGGCTGTGGCGACGAGTGAAGGGGCCCTGGGACACGCAAACAAAGACACACAAATAACAGGATTCCCCATATTTTCCTATGATTTCTGGGTTTTTGTCTCCCCCCCCACTTCGCATAGTTTCCCATATATTTTCTGGGGGATCGACAATTGATTCTGTCTGTGATTTTTCCCCTCTTGAACGAGGGCGCTCTGGGGAGGGCCCAGTAGAGATCGCTTGAGAATCACTCGGCCTCGGTGCATCGGCCGCCGCAGGACCCGCGACCCCCTCTCCCCAGTGACGTAATAGTGAGCGTTTTCTGATTCGGCGTGTCGACATTGGACGGAAGAGGGGGGGGAGGTCCTGGCTCCGGACCGCTGCTTAGCGCGATGGTTTGGAACAGTGCGTCCTATGGAGGAGACTCCATCTGTTTGAAAAGGGTGCCCAAAACAGCCAAGATCGACTCCATGGGGGGGGGGGAGAGGATCCGAGGGTCCGCGCCGATCCGCACAAGAACGAATCAGAAAACGATCACCAACCCTCGACCACCCCCCCTGTTGAGGAGACTCCACTGACGGGCACGTTGGCCAGTGACCCGGCGAACCAACCCTCCCCGATGTGGGCAATGGTGCAGTGCCAGAAAGAGTCCCTAGAGCGGCACTGGTCGGCAAATTCACAAAGTACCCGTTAGTGAGTACCCGTCACGGTGCTGCCGACCGACATGGCCGGCGGCATGTGCGCGGCCCAGGGGTGTGCCGGGGACGTACTGAAACATCAGAAGAGGCGCCATGAGATCTTGTCGGGTCGGGCGAAAGGGGGGGATAGCAAAGGGGGGGGTTGAGAACCAGCTCACGTAGCTGATTTTCCCGGCGCCTCCCGGCGCCGGAGGCGGCCATGTATCGAGGAATGGGCTCCTCGGTGGGGCCAAAACCGGCTGCATGCCGCAAATTTCGAACCCTCCCCTTTCCCATGGCCCCCCCTTTCGTCCGGCCCGATCTTGGGAGATAGCATGGCCCCCGCCATGATGTCCACCCCCCCCCAATCATCACCCCCCTCTTTGCCGCCCCCCCGCTGCGCCGGGCTGCTCCACGGGCCGCCTCCGCCTACTTTTAGGTCGGGCGTGCCCCCCTACAGGCGGATTTCGGAGGAAAGAGAAATAGCCCAAAAATACCCTCAAATAGTTAAAGCATTGTGAAAAAATCGTCCCCGCCCTATGTTTGGACTATTTTTGAGGATTCCCCCTGTAGAGGGACAGGCCCGACTCGACCCTAAGCATCACCCCCCTCTTTGCCGCCCCCGAATTCAGGAAACTCCCGGCCCCCGACGACGCCCCGCTGCGCGGGGCTGGTGCGCGACCAGCCTCCGCTTGCTTTTAGGTCGGGCCTGTCCCCCTACAGAGAGCCTTTCGACGGAAATTTCAAAGATCCACAAAAAAGTCATGAATAAAAAAATGCTCGAAAAGTCCTCTCCACACTATTTTCTTACAATTTTTTGGCATTCCCGCTGTAGAGGGACCGGCCCGACTCAAACCTACTTCCTGTATAGGGCCGAGTTGACGGCCCGCCCCGGCCCGTTGGCGGCCCTCGCCTCGCTTTGCCTCCCTCCCCGGCCACGCGGCGCGGAGAAGGGCAGCGCTCACCTCAGGTCGGGCCTACCCCCTGTACAGGGAGATTTTGGAGGAGCAATACCAAAAAATACTCAGAACATGCTCGAAAATGATCGACAAAAGCTCCCGAGCTCGTCTCCCTACTATTTCTGGCAACGTTGGAATATTCTTGACTTGGCAATTTTGGAGGAACAGTAAAAAATAGTCAGAACATGCTCGAAAATGATCGACAACAACTCCCAAACTCGTCCCCTACTATTTTTCGGCAATTCTGGAATATTCCTCTTGTAGAGGGACACGCCCGATTTAGAGCTCACCCCGCAGAGCGTGGTGAAAAACTGGCCGAATTTGCCCCACTCGGCGGCCCCCGGCTGGGAAAACCACGGGGCACGGATATGCCGCCATCTCCCGCCAGGGGGAGCGCGGCACAGGGAACGAGGTGCGCACCGTGTCACCGATCCCTGTCCCCGCTGGTGTGGCCTGGGCTCCACTGGCCGACTTACCTTCGGCTTCGAGGGGCATATCCGCGACTGGGGTGGTGGGATAGGGATCGGTTAAGCGATGCTGCCAATGTTGGAGCAGGGACCGACTGCCCTGGCAGTCTTATAGGCCTACCACGACATGTTCTTAGAAACCCAAAAACGTCCTAAGAACAAAAACGATGTTCTTAGAACATGAGCCGGATGTGTTGAAACAAGACCGTCCCAGCCAGAAATGTTCTAAGAACATCTCGCTGAAACCCCAAAAGGACATTCTCTGGTAGGCCCATAGGCGAGCCTGGGCGCTTCCCCGCTGCTTGACGAAGGAGGCCGATGTCATCCTGGCCACGGTGAGCCGCGGCCACGAGCAAGAGCCCTCGGGGATCGTCTGACCCGGGTCAATCTAGACCCGGGTCACGCAGGCCTTGCAGGATCCTGCAAGATCCTGCACTCAAACCCAGGTGAATGCGATCCCGGCCCTCCTGCAAGGATCCTGCACGATGCTGCACCCAAGCCCGGGTCTGCGCGACCCTGGCCCTGCAGGATCCTGCAAGATCGGGCGCTCTGGCTGACCCCCATTTGCATGGACCCCCGTCTCAAGGCTCCCGACCGGGGAGGGGGGGGTCTGGCTCCGGACCACTGCTTCATGCCGCCGTTTGCAACCGTGCGTCC